TTTGTTAAATGTTTCCAAACATTTAGTTTTATTTTCTATGATTTTACTTTGTCGTCATCTTAGACAACAAAAGAGGGAAGATTAAATGCTGGATAATTGTATTCTTATATGTTAAAAAAATTTCTTTTGCTATTTTTAAACATCATTCAAAGAATTATAATGCCCTTAATACTAGTGTATAAGCATCAGTACAACACATTTAAAGTGAATTAAATAATAATCCAATTTAAAATTACACAAGGTGGTAGAAGATATACTGTATATATATCTGCCAAATCACTTTATCATAAAGTGATTTCCAAATGCATCATTTCTTCTATTTTCAAAAATCTTACCCATCAAAAAGTTGTATTATCACATCTTTCATTCAGATTTTCCTAATTATTATCATAGATGTTTTGTTAATTGTGTGAGGTTACATGTGATCATTCTGTCTTACTTTTTTCCTTTTAAAGCTCACAGGAAGATTTCTTCTTAGACTGCATGTAAGTAGTCAAGGACCTTATGCTTATAGAAATTATATCTTAGAAAACCAAAATCATGTCTCAGATTTTTAATGTCTTGAAATATCCCTACCAGTGTTATAATATCGGGATTCTCTATATTTTCCATTGCTGATCTCTTAATTGTTGTGGTGGTCATTTGATGGCAAAGCAAATCTAATGGGATATTTAAGTATAAGTGTATAAATTAAAAAAAAAAGGGAGGACAGGCCCACCATTTTTACTACAAATTGAAGGTTTGGGGCAACTGTGCCTCCAGCAAGTCTATCAGTGCCATTTTCCAACAGCATCTGCTCATTTTGTATCTGTGTCACATTTTGGTAATTTATACAATAATTCCAACTTTTAAACTATTACTATGCTTGTGATAGTGATCTGTAATCAGTGATCTTTGATGTTATTACTGTAATTATTTTGGGACGCCACAAACCCCACTCACATAAGATGGAAAACTTAATTCTTTAGTGTTGTGGATGTTCTGACTGTTCCACTAACCAGCCATTCCCCCATGAGGGACTGAAGAGACCAGCCATTCTCTTCAGGCCTTCCTCTTCCCTGAGACACAACAATATTGAAATTAGGCCAAGTAAGTGTTCAAGTGAAAGCAAGAGAATATGCCTCTCCTTTAAATCAAAAGCTAGAAATGATTCAAGTTAGTGAGGAAGGCATGTCAAAATCCAAGATGGGCCTCTCTCACCAAAGACCTATTCACTTCTATTCACCAGCCAAGTTGTGAATGCAAAGGAAAACTTCTGGAAGAAAATTTAAAGTGCTACTTCAGTGAAAACATTAATGATAAGAAATAGAACAGTCTTATTGCTGATATGGAGAAGTTATGGATAGATCAAAACAGCCACATACTCTCTTAAGCCAAAGCCTATTCCAGAGTTGGGCCCTAATTCTCTTCAAGGCTATGAAGGCTGAGTGAGAGGTGAGGAAGCTGCAGAAGAAAAACCTGAAGCCAGCAGAGGTTGGTTCCTCAGACTTAAGGAAAGAAGCCATTTCCATAACATAAGAGTGCAAAGTGAGGCAACAAGGGCTTGATGTAGAAGCTGCAGCAAGTTATCTAGAATATCTAGCTAAGATCATTTTTTACAGTGGCTACATTAAACAACAAATGTTCAATGTAGATGAAACAGCCTTCTACTGGAAGGAAATGCCATCTGAGACTTTAACAGCTAGAGAGCAGAAGTTAATGCTGGCTTCAGAGCTTCAAGAGACAAGATGACTCTCTTGTCAAGAGCTAATGGACTTGGTGGCTTTAAGTTGAAACCAGTGGGTGATGCAGTGGTAAAGAATGTGCCTGTGAATGCAGGAGACACAAGAGTCTGAAGTTGAGAAGATACCCTGGAGTAGGAAATGGCAACCCACTCCAGTGTTCTTGCCTGGAACATCCCATGGACAGAGGAGCCTGGTGGGCTACAGTCCACAGGGTCACAAAGAGTCAGACACGACTGATCACACACGTGTGCACACACACACACAGTGCTCACTTACCATTCCAAAAATCTGAGGTCCCTTTAGGATGACACTCAATCTACTCTACACTGTGCTCTATCAATGGCACAACAAAGTGTGGATGACAGCACATCTGTTTACAACACGGTTTCCTGAATATTTTAAGCCCACTGTTGAGACCTACTGCTAGGAAGAAAACATTCCTACTCATTGACAACACACCTGGTCACCCAAGTGCTCTGATGGAGATGTACAATGAGACTAATGTTGTTTTCATGCCTGCTAATACAACACCCATTCTGAAGCCATGGATCAAGAAGTAATTTTGACTTTCAAGTCTTATTATTTAGGAAATACACTTTGTAAGGCTAAAGACAGAAATTCTTCAGACAGATCTGGGTAAATTCAATTGAAAACCTTCTGGAAAGGATTCATCATTCTAGATGACATGAAAGAACATTTACAAATCATGAAAGAGGTCAAAATGTCAACATTCCTAAGGGAGTTTGGAGGAAGTTGATTCCAACCCTTATGAGAGACTCAAGGGGTTCAAGACTTCAGTGGAGTAAGGAACTGCAGATGTGCTGGACACAGCAAGAGAATCAGAATTAGAAGTGGAGCCTCAAGATGTGACGGAATGGCTTCAATCTTGTGATAAAACCCAAGTGGACAAAAAAAAAAAACCTAAGTGGGTGAGGAGTTGCTTCCTATGGATGGGAAAAGAAATTGGTTTCTTAAGGTGGAACCTATTCCTGGTGAAGATGCTGCAGAGACAGTTGAAATGATAACAAAGGATTTAGAGAATATCACATAAGAATAGATGATAAAGCAATGGCAGAGTTTCAGAGGACTGATTCCAATTTTGAAAGTTTTACTTGTGGGTAAAATGCTATCAAACAGCCTTATGTGCTGTGGAAAAACAATTCCTAAAGGCAGAAATCAACTGATGTGGCAAATTTGATTGTCTCATTTTCAAAAATTGCCACAATCACACAATCTTCAGCAACCACCATCCTAATCAGCTGACTGTCATCAACATCGGGGCAAGACCCTCAACCCGCAAAGAAATTACAGCTTGCTGAAGGCCCAGGTGATTGTTAGCATTTTTTACCAAGAAAGTATTATTTTATTAAGCTCTGTACATTGTTTCTTAAGACATAATGCTATTGCACACTTAACAGACCACAATATAGTGCTCGCTTCGGCAGCACATATACTAAAATTGGAACGATACAGAGAAGATTAGCATGGCCCCTGCGCAAGGATGACACGCAAATTCGTGAAGCGTTCCATATTTTTCTCAAAATGGATTAAAGATCTAAATGTAAGACCAGAAACTATAAAACTCCTAGAGGAGAACATAGGCAAAACACTCTCCGACATAAATCACAGCAGGATCCTCTATGACCCACATCCCAGAATTTTAGAAATAAAAGCAAAAATAAACAAATGGGACCTAATGAAACTTAAAAGCTTTGCACAACAAAGGAAACTATAAGCAAGGTGAAAAGACAGCCTTCAGATTGGGAGAAAATAATAGCAAACGAAGCAACAGACAAAGGATTAATCTCAAAAATATACAAGCAACTCCTCCAGCTCAACTCCAGAAAAATAAATGACCCAATCAAAAAAATGGGCCAAAGAACTAAACAGACATTTCTCCAAGGAAGACATACAGATGGCTAACAAACACATGAAAAGATGCTCAACATCACTCATTATCAGAGAAATGCAAATCAAAACCACAATGAGGTACCATTATACGCCAGTCAGGATGGCTGCTATCCAAAAGTCTACAAGCAATAAATGCTGGAGAGGGTGTGGAGAAAAGGGAACCCTCTTACACTGTTGGTGGGAATGCAAATTAGTACAGCCACTATGGAAAACAGTGTGGAGATTTCTTAAAAAGCTGGAAATAGAACTGCCATATGACCCAGCAATCCCACTTCTGGGCATACACACCAAGGAAACCAGATCTGAAAGAGATACGTGCACCCCAATGTTCATCGCAGCACTGTTTATAATAGCCAGGACATGGAAGAAACCTAGATGCCCATCAGCAGACGAATGGATGAGGAAGCTGTGGTACATATACACCATGGAATATTACTCAGCCATTAAAAAGAATTCATTTGAATCAGTTCTAATGAGATGGATGAAACTGGAGCCCATTATACAGAGCAAAGTAAGCCAGAAAGATAAAGACCATTACAGTATACTAACACATATATATGGAATTTAGAAAGATGGTAACGATAACCCTATATGCAAAACAGAAAAAGAGACTCCGATGTATAGAACAGACTTGTGGACTCTGGGAGAAGGCGAGGGTGGGATGTTTCAAGAGAACAGCATCAAAACATGTATATTATCTAGGGTGAAACAGATCACCAGCCCAGGTTGGGTGCATGAGACAAGTGCTCGGCCCTGGTGCACTGGGAAGACCCAGAGGGATCGGGCGGAGAGGGAGGTGGGAGGGGGGATCGGGATGGGGAATACATGTAAATCAATGGCTAATTCATTTCAATGTATGACAAAAACCACTGCAATGATGTAAAGTAATTAGCCTCCAACTAATAAAAATAAATGAAAAAAAAAAATTAAAAAATTAAAAAAAAAAAAACAGACCACAGTATAAACATAACTTTTACATGCACTAGGAAACCAAAAATTCATGTGACTAGGTTTACTGCACTATTCTCTTTATTGTGGTATAGGGAACCAAATCCACAGTATCTCTGAGGTATGTCTGAACTTTTTTTCTTTGAAGATTTTATTACTTCTGATACAGCAAGAATGAGCACGACACTGTATTGGTTCTCTCCCCCACATCCCAATTCCTCCTGGGGTGCACAGATGGATTCATTGAGTGCCACGCATGTGCTAAGCTGTGTTACACTGAGGCACGCTGAGTTTGGGGACTCCATGCTGAGAGGCATATAGAATCTCAGTTCCCTGGCCAGGGATCCAACACGCAGCCCCTGCACTGGAAGCATGGAATCTTAATGACTGGCCCACCAGGGAAGTCCATGAACTTACTTCTAAGACGATCGTTCGGATGTTTTTCACATACAGCGTCACATAGTCATTGATGTAGATATGCGAGTAGTTGGGCTGTGTATCATACCAACCCATCATTAGTGCTGCTTCATTTTCATTATTTCCACTCCATGTGATGATGGAGGGATGAGATTTCAGTCTCCGGACCTAAAATCGAAGAAAACATAAAACAATTTTCAAATGCTCAACATAAAAAGGCTCAGAGTTGTAATTATTCATAAAATTATAGCCATTGCCTTTCTGCATGTATATTTTTACATATCAGAAAACTCATCAGAAAATGAGCAGTAATGTTACATATGGGAATACATTTTAAGAAACCTCTGACATTCTTTTTATCTACATTTTATAAACATTGATAAAATATGGTTCCTCTTCTCTTTTATAAAAATTGATGAAAATATAATCCCTTTTACTAAAGAGAAAAATAAATCAACTCATCATTATCTGACTCACCACAAAAAGGTCCTAAAAAGTACAAAGGGCAGGAGGCATTACATTACAGAGGTTAGTTTCTCAAAAGCAAGTTGGAGTTTTTGAGGAAGAAACAAATAAGGCAGAACAAACACTACTGCTGAGAGAGGGACTGAAGTCCCACACAGTTGTCTCCAGCAAGATCAGAAAACCACCAGGACAGGTAGAGAGAGCTTTACAAAGCAAGTGAGTACCACAGAGATTCCGGAATTTACAAAGACATGAAACATTCTAAAGGAAAAAAGATTAAGACATCAAGAGTCTGTCCTCTGAAATAACTACGTCATATCTTAAGACTTTGGCCACTTGATGGGAAGAGCTGACTCATCGGAAAACACCCTGATGCTGGGAAACACTGCAGGCAGGCAGGAGAAAGGGACAGAGGATGAGACGGTTGGGTGGTATCGTGTTTCAAGGTACATGAGTTTGAGCAAACCCTGGGAGATGATGAAGGACAGGGAAGCCTAGCATGCTGCAGTCCATGGGGTTGCAGAGTGTTGGACATGACTTAGCGAATGAACAGCAACGTCTTAAGAAATCAACTAAGGTTAAGTCACTGAATACATCTAAATACAGGAAAAGAAATTGAGGAATCTGAAAACCCTGCATGATCTGGGCTCACTATAGGCCAGCCCTTCATAGAGATGAAAAGATTCAGTTCTTCTGACACATTGGAAGATAAGCCCAGCAGAAGAGGGCAATTAAATCTCTCTGAGAACAACAGAGTGAGTCAATGGTCAATAGAAATTCTTTTGGAACATGTTTTAGCAATATAACCTTATTGGTTTTCATAGCTTCTCTTGCACTGGAATGGATGACTACACGATGGACTTCAGCTCATGTTCTCACTGTGGTCTCCACTCAATATGCTAAGTAATCCACATGTGAAATAGAGATGTATTAAGAATACCTTAAAAAGATATATGTAATTTTAAAAATTAAAGTTTGTGTTTTTTCTAAGCTAGTCTTATAAACAGTATTTCCTTATTTGCCTCTGAAAATACCGTTTATAAGGTAGCTTCCCTGATAGCTCAGTTAGTAAAGAATCCACCTGCAATGCAGGAGACCCCAGTTCGATTCCTGGGTCTGAAAGATCGCAGGAGAAGGGATAGGCTACCCACTCCAGTATTCCTGGGCTCCCCTGGTGGCTCAGCTGGTAAAGAATCCACCTGCAATGCAGGAGACCTGGGTTCGATCCCTGGGTTAAGAAGATCCCCTGGAGAAGGGAAAGGCTACCCACTCCAGTATTCTGGCCTGGAGAATTCCATGGACTTGAATAGTCCATGGAGTTGCAAAGAGTCATACACAACTGAGCAATTTTCACTTTCATTTTTCATATACAGGTAAAAGAGGGCTATGACCAGCTGTGACAGGCATGCTTATGGTACTGATGAAAATACAAATACCGAAGAGACAAAAAACTTCAGTGACTCTATGCTGCACACACCCTTCAAACTGACCTAGAATTTTATGGTGAGCTTTACTTTAAATTTTAATAAACCCTGCACAAAAAGTTCTCTTTAATAATACATAAAAGAACTGAGAACGCATAGATATATTTTAATTGTGTGAAGGAAAATTAAAAATAAAACTGAAATGTTTACAACCTACATAACTACAATTAATATTTTAAAAGTTATTCACTCATCCATCCACCTATACATCGGATGAATAATACAGCCGGGTCATGGGGCAACTTGCCCTAAGCCTCAGGGAGATTACAATCTTGATAGAGTGACAAAACATTGAACAAGTAATTTCAAGTGTGATGTATGTCACAAAGGGAAAATGACCTAATCTAGACTTGTAGACATAGTAAGTTTCTTCCCAGAGAGTCATGCCCAAAGTAAGACGAGTCAGAAAAAGAACGATTCAGATCATCCGCAGGGGAGGGTAACAGGCAAGGCATTCCAGGTCAGGGAAAGCACGGGGAATAGGGTATCTAACGGGGCTGGGGAGACAGGCAGAGACAAGAGTGCATGGTGAGGATCTTTAACTGTATCTAGAGGGCTCTGAGTAAGGGATGATTCAATGCTCACTTTCTGAACTTAAGAAAAAGCAGACACAGAAAACAAACTATGACACAATGAATTATTATTATAAGGCAATCACACTGGCAACACCATCTAGGCTAAGAAAACTTCACCAACACCTCAGGAGCCCTCATGTACCCCTTCCTAATCATAGCCATTCCTTCCTTCCAAAAGTAACCACTATCTTGAGTGTCATATTTTTTTCATTTCTTTTGGTTTTCCCCACAAATATACATTCACAGACACCAATGATGAGCTTATAGATTTTAACATACTCGATGGATTTCGATCCACTGACATTCTTATCCTTACTGAATTTCAAATTGTCCCACTTCTGGTCAGTCAGTCTCATCAACGTTCTTCTAACGTATCTTTGGTAGCTTCCTTGTTATTTGTATGCCAAAAGATTCCAGTATCATCTAGTATATCTCTTGTTCCAGACCTGGAACCAGCCATTCCTCTAAGAACCCTTCTTTTAGCGGGAAAGACTATTTCAATATAAGGATGCTCAATTTAACTAGGCTGTTCACTGTTTTTAAGATTTTTCAGTGAACAGAGCTAGGATATAATCACTTCTTTGCATTTACAGATCTATAAATATAAGGTATTTATATGTGGAATGCAACAGAAATCAAGGAGTTAAGAATCAAAATTTTTGGCCTGAGAAATTCAAAGACTGGTATTGCCATTTATTGAGGTGGGGAACACAGCAAGAAAAACAAGTCTGGGAAAGGTAATATAAGTTTGGTTTAGACCTGTTACATTTGAGATTCCTATTACACCTCCAGGTAGGGGTTCCAAGCAGGGAGCTAAGATAGCAAGAACCAAGAATTCAGCAGAGAAGTCAGGGCCAGGAATAAATCTGACAGTCATCCACCAATAAGTGGAATTAGAACCATGAGACTGGATGGAATCGCTCAAGGAGTCAATCACCTGGCTGATTTTTTTTTCCCCCATGGGATTTAATAAAACAAAAAGAAACAAAGAGAAGAAATTAAACACAGCATGGTAAATCAGCTATACTTCAATGGAATTTAAAACAAGAAAAAACACGGACAGGTTTAACAAAAGGCAAAACTAAAACTTAAGCCTTTACTTCTTGGAATGGTAATGACATACCTGTTGAGTGACTTCTTCTCTCACAGAATCCATGAAATCCTCATCGGTTGGGTAAAGTGCACAGGCAAACATAAAATCCTGCCATATCTAGCAAATCAAATAAGAGGCAACACAGTACTTCCATCGATTTCATTGCATAGAAGAAAATTCTCTGTCCTAAACCTTGGGCATTATCTTTCATGTAAACAAAAATCAACTTAGTCTGAAGTGTGTGACCATTTTCGCAGTGCAAGGCATGAGGTACTGGGAAAGGCACTTTACAAACTCTCTAGGACTGTAAGGAAGCCTGAGAAGAGAAAACATTAGGTGTGCAGAAAAGAAAAAAAAAAAACAGGAATTCAAATAAGGAAATAGTGCTTGTGTTGTGGAGAATATGAAATTCAGTAAAGATGTCTCCCAACCTCGCCTCATTTCTAATTCATTCTAATTTTCACCAGGAATTTGGTTTTGAGAAATGGCCCAGACTCTTAAGAAACGCACTTTTTTAAAAAAAAATCAAAGGATTAACTTTTCATGGCCAAAAGGATCACTTCATGGACATTTTAGAGAGGAAACCACGTAAGTGCAATTGGGCTTCCCAGGTGGCGCTAGTGGTAAAGAATTCACCTGCTAATGTAGGGGACGCTAAGAGAAACAGGTTCAGTCCCTGGGTTGGGAGGATCCCCTGGAGTAGGAAATTGCAACATACTCCAGTATTCTTGCCCAGAGAATCCCATGGACAGAGGAGCTTGGTGGACGAGTGTCCACAGGTTGCAAAGTGCCAAACACGACTCAGGATGCACCATTCAGGGAGGCCACAAGGAGAGTGGTTTAGAGCACAGAGCCATATCTGTTGGCCTGAGTCAGAACTTCATTCCCACCATATGCCCACTGTGTGAGTTTGGGAAAGTTAGTTAACCTCTCCACATGCCAGTAAAAGGGGGATAGAGAACAACAGTAACTACCTCATATGGTGGGCATGAAGATGAAATAAAATAATAAATTCAGAGCACTGAGAACAATGCCCAGAGTATTACAGAATATTGATACATCATGACCATCGGCATTATCAATGTTATTAAAATTACTACTCTTCTATGAAGTGCTTTACATCTTAGAACTGCAGCACTAGAATTAAAAGAACATATTTCCTTTGCCTAACCCTCACCAATGCAAACCATGTTCAGAAGTACTTAATGAGAGTATTAAACACATCTTTTAAAATGTAATCATTTTTCTTCTCTCTAGGTCTTGTTAGATCTCCTTAAAGTTAAAATTTTTTAATATTTTATTTTTCTTTTTATGCTTAACCTCTTATCACAAACCTCTTATCACCTCTTATTACAAAGAAAATATAGATATACGCTTAGATATAACCAATATGCAGAATGTCTATCATTTTAAAATAATCAAATAATTATGATATTTGCTATCAATTATGGCTCTGGGTTTGCTAGATGCCATTTATTTCTCTGCCAAAAAAAAAAGTGGAACATCATTCTTGGCTCTGAGAAAAGAAGGAATGGGCTATGATACCACTTATATGTGGAATCTAAAATATGACACAAGTGAATTTATGAAAGAGAAATATAACTTATGGTTATCAAAGGAGAAGGAGGTGGGGAGGGATAAATTAGGAGTTGAGGATTAGCAAATACAAACTATTACCTATAAAATAGATAAACAATAAGGACCTACTGCATAGCACAGGGAACTTTATTCAATATCCTGACATAAACCATAATGGAAAAGAATATGCAATACATGCATAACTGAATCACTTTGTTGTACTCCTGAAACTAGCACAACATTGTAAATAAACTATACAACGACAAAAAAAAACAAAGGAATGGGCAATATCCCCACTCAGAACACTGGAGGTCAAACTGAGGATATGGTAACATATCAACAAAATGGTGAGCTGTCAACTACATACCATTATTCCTAGTTCATCACAGAGTTTGTAGAATTCATCCTGCTCATAAATTCCTCCTCCCCAAACCCGGAGAGCATTCATGTTAGCATCCACAACAGACTGCAAAAAGAGCCGTAACCTACAGAAGAAAATTTTAAAACAAATGCTAATTTAAAATCTTGGGAACATTAAAAAAAAAAGAACAAAATTTTAAGAAATATGCTGTGGTTGATAAACACATTTCAAATCACTGTTAAAAGAACACATTTTAATTATGATGGTTTGGATACAATGTACAGTGAAGAAAATGAGACAAAATTATATACACATTAACTGTAATTATAATTGACTTTGCTCATGGCTCAGACGGTAGAGAATCCATTTACAATGCAGGACATCCGGGATTGATTCCTGGGTTGGGAAGATCCCTTGGAGAAGGGAATGGCAACCCACTCCAGTGTTCTTGTCTAGAGAATTCCATGGACACAGGAGCCTGCAGGCTACAGTCCATGGGGTCGCAAAGAGTTGGACACGACTGAGCGACTAACACTTTCACTTCACTTTCTAACTGTAACCACATAAAAATAAACGTAGAAAAATTATGAGTGATATCTTCTCTCTGCCTTCTAAGTTTTCAGTCACTATTACACTATTTTTAAAATTAAATTTTTGTCTTAAAGTTATTCCTGTTGTAAACCTTAGAAACTATGTGTTCATTTTATACAACCATTTCAAACTATAAGACAAAAATCAGAGTTTGAATATTAGTTTCTAGCTCACTCTCCTCCATTTTTTTTTTTTTTAAAAACAATTCCTCCAGTCCAGTACCCCCTTATCCAGTAAATTTCCTTCTTGCTCTAATTCCTATTTACATCACCTTCAAGAAAGTTTAGAAATTTGCATCCACCTTGACAGCATGTACCTTCCATTTCCAGAACAGCACCCAGAAGGGGAGGAAAAAGTCCAATAACAGGAAGACCATGGACCCAGAGCACTGTGCTCCTAGTAAAGACACCTATGGACAGGTTTACTAACTGGCCCAGCTGTGCTGTACACCGAAACCTACCAGGAGTGGAGTCAAAGTGTTAGTCGCTCAGTCGTGTCTGACTCTGCAACCCAACAATATTGAGGTGGGTTGCCATTTCCTACTCCAGGGAAGCTTCCCAGGTGGCGCTAGTGGTAAAGAACCCTCTGCCAATGCAAGAGATGAAAGAGACAACCCCTGGGTTCAATCCCTGGGTTAGAAAGATCCTCTGGAGAAGGGCATCGCAATCCATTCCAGTATTCTTGCCTGGAGAATTCCATGGACAGAGGAGCCTGGTGCGCTACAGTCCGTGGGGTCACAAAGTCAGACACGACTGAAGCAACTTAGGATGCATGCACTCCAGGTGATCTTCCCAACCCAGGGATCAAACCTGGGCCTCTTGCATTGCAGGTAAATGCATCTGAGCCACCAGGGTGGGAAGGAGACAGCAAAATTTCCATGCTCTGTCTGGAGAATGATTTTATTTTCATATGAAATTCAAAAATATTACACATTTTAAAGTAAAAGAATATTATTATAAATATAACTTTTGGCAAAATTAGAGTTTACCTATACCAACCCCATCTACATTCTAAACATAATATACCTCAATGCATATTTGTATAATATAAGTTAAGTCCATCACTTCATAGCAAATAAGATGGAGAAACAGTAGAAACAGTGGCTGACTTTATTTTGGGGGGCTCTAAAATCACTGTAGAAGGTGACTGTAGCCATGAAATTAAAAGACGCTTGCTCCTTGGAAGGAAAGTTATGACCAACCTAGACAGCATATTAAAAAGCAAAGACATTATTTTGCCAACAAAGGTCCAGCTAGTCAAGGCTATGGTTTTTCTAGTAGTCATGTATGGATGTGAGAGCTGGACTATAAAGAAAGCTGAGCGCCAAAGAATTGATGCTTTTGAACTGTGGTGTTGGAGAAGACTCTTGAGAGTCCCTTGGACTGCAAGGAGATCCAACCAGTCCATCCTAAAGGAGATCAGTCCTGGGTGTTCATTGGAAGGACTGATGCTAAAGCTGAAACTGCAATACTTTGGCCACCTGATGCGAAGAGCTGACTCATTGGAAAAGACCCTGACGCTGGGAAAGATTGAGAACAGGAGGGGAAGGGGATGACAGAGGATGAGATGGTTGGATGGCATCACCGACTCAATTTGAACATGAGTTTGGGTAAACTCCAAGAGTTGGTGATGGACAGGGAGGCATGGCGTGCTGCAGTCCATGGGGTTGCAAAGTGCCTGATACAACTGAGCGACTAAACTGAAGTGAACTGAAATGTGTTTATTTTCACCTCACAAAGCTTATTTTTACTATTACAAAGATAGCAGTTTATAAATCTAATCAGGAAGTATTTTCTTGTTAACTCCTCAGAGCTTCAGAAAAACGCTTTGAAGATTTCTTTAGTACTTTTTATTAAAAGCATAATAAACATGAAGAATGTGTAAATATCTTAGCATGAAGAAGTAAATAGTTTTGATAAAGCACTGCATTACCAAATTTACCATTTACCATTTTTTTGGTAAAGCATACCAAACAAACAAACCAAAAAAACCTCATGCTATCCTTCAAAAAAAAAATTTTAAGTCAAATTTAATCATCTTTTTTTACAGGGGCTAACTATCCAAGATGCACATTAGCCATTTTCTTGTTCCTCTGGAAACAATTTATAAAAATTAGATAGTTTCAGCAGTCTCAAATAGTTTAGCTGTAAGATGGTCTATAGCTCATGAGAATGAAATGACTTAAAAATTTTTTCCATTCTAGAGTTTTCATCATCCTAGAATTATATGTTCCCTCTTGGTTCCTTCCACCAGAACAACAACAACAAAAAATTAAAATGAGTAGCTCTTAAGCTCTGTGGGATTGCTAATAATAAGAGGAACAAGAAATAAAGATGATAACTTACAAGGCAGAGGTTACTCTATCCTGGAATAAATCTGCAGGGATCCAATTCGAGCCTTTCAGAAATATGGGAAGGCCATTAATTTTGAAGTAGAAACTCAGACCAGGAGAATCTTGTATGGGCTCTTCTACAAGTTCCACTGTCCTAAAATAAACCTATTGTTAACAGAATTAAATAATGAATATAAAATTTAAAACATAAGCATATGCCAAAACCAAACTATATTATTTACTATAGCCTTAAAAAAAAGTTTTTTTTTAAAAAGCAAACTTCTGAGCAGTTTCTATGAACATAATTTAGTGTTAATTTTCTATCCACTTGAAGCTCTTAATGTGAAAGAGCATTTTTAAGAAAATATATATATAAATTATTGCCAGATTCCGTTATTTCTCTTTGAGAATAAAACACAGAAACCATTAAAGAGTGAAAATATATTGTCTTTCCTACGAAGTAGCATTTGCAATAATGTCAAAAAATATATATTTGAGATAACATTTCAAAATTAAAACAAAAATTGATACTACTTCACAAAAGTGGGGGAGAAAAGTCACCAGTTAAGCAGATACACCTTTGAAAAACACGTTCTCATTTCAGTACTATTAAAATCTGCCAAAATGTGCATCTTAGAATCAAAGAAATACAGCACAAGGTATTATTTAACAATTTTCCATCTTAGGAGCTCAATATTATAAAAAACCATTTTGTTTAATGGGCAACTTAATCCTAACTAATTATCCATCAAACTCAATGTCTGAGAGAGCACAAGTAGAGAGACTGGAAACGTGAGCGATGTTTCAGCTGGAAGAAGGGACGGACTTATCATTGCTGCGTGAGAAGAAGCTAAGATCTTTGTCCCAGAGACAGTCCAGCCAGGTTTCTCCACAGTTAAGCATGAGCAGCAAACTAGAAAAGACTGTATTCTTACCCAAATCTTCATTCTTTCCAGCCATAAACTAGATCAAGGAATGAGGGAGATAGTTTCATACCAATAAAGCCTCATCTTGAAAACAAGATTATGCATTTCTTCTCTAACTAAAAATAGTTAATAGATCAACTTATTTCATGTAGTAAAAGTGCCCACTGTTCTTTCACTTTCTGACGCTTAGCCTAATTAATACGACATAACAAAAGATACCAGAGTTAACTTTGTAGGAAGACACAGAACAAGGCCTTGATGAGGATGACCTTGACATGGAATTACCACATCTGCTTTAGGATGCAAAAATGTTCTTTAAAAAAAATGGCTATTTTCAGAGGTAACTTTCAAACATCTTGATGGTTGTTTCAAAGATCTAGAACAACAGTTAGTTAAGTGTGACTAGGGGACTATATGGGATCCCTGGGAACCTTTCAAGGGGATCCCTGAGTTCAAAACTATCTTCACAGTAAAGCTAAAACATTACATGCCTTTTTCACTCTTACTCTTTTGAGGGTACAGTGGAATTTTCCAGAAGCTACAAGATGTATGATGACATCATTCTGACAGCTCATGGAATTTGTGTTTGTATGTTCTGGTGTGTTCTATAGCAGAGGCTGAGGGCATAAAGAGGTACCTTCTCAGAGGTTAGCTCAATGTTTTCTGAGTACTACTCGGCTCTTCCGAGCTGTTGGTGATTATTCCTGCTATAATCTCTGTAGCCTCATTCCTGCTCAATAAATTCTTATTTTTAAACCCAAAGTTTTTGCTGCAACTTAAACAGAAACACAAAAGGATGAGATACCGTTTGTTAACTTGTTCAAGTAATAATTTTTAAGTTTTCAAATAAAAATAAATTTTTATTTTTGAGACTCATTTAATGATACTTCATCTCATTCTAAAAGAAAACATTTATAATGTTTTTCCTAATTTTTATCTTATTGTCTTAAAATGGGACTAGAAGATTAACATTCTCACCTACAACCACACTGTCTTATATTTCAAAGTGCTGGTAAAAATGAAACTGACTTATCTGTCTTCTGACTCAAGGAAGGGAGGAATCTACTCCAAAGAAACTGGGAAAAATAATAAGAAACAAGACTGTGGTGAAAGCCATATTCCCTTCAACTTTATAGATGTTAATAATTTATCTTATAGTGCATTATGCAATTGGAGAAGGAAATGGCAACCCACTCCAGTACTCTTGCCTGGAGAATCCCATGGACAGAGGAGCCTGGCGGGCTACAGTCCATGGAGTTGCAAAGAGTTGGACACAACTAAAGAGAATTAGCACCCATACATTATGCAATGCAACATGTAAATAACAATAATATTTATGGTACCAGTTACATTGTAGTATCATTTTGAGACCAATCATTCTAAGTATGAAGAAAAAGAAATTGAATATTTTAAACTTAGATGTGATAAGCTCTTCTGAAAGCAGTACATTCTTTACTACACTGTAGTACATTGTTTATGTCATGTTATCATATTTTTCAAACTAGAAATGAAAAAAGCCACTAGTACATCTCGTAGGGTTGGTTATCACACTGCATTTGCTAGGGAAGCACACATACTAGCTCAGAGAGTTTTACAGAGGGTACATTGTTAGTGCCTTGGCAGAAATCAAGGCAGTGTCTCCAGTTTGTGCTGGTAGTCATTATATTCCTCACCTTCATGCATTATTGGTGGGAGGAGCCAGTTTCACTTAAGGACGTCCTTGATAAAGCAACAAAAAATCATTAATTCTATTAAATCCCAATCTTGAATACACATCATTGTAGTAGTCTGTGTGATGTAACGATGAAATGGCAACTATGAATAAAGCATCGTACAGGATGGATATCTTTAGGAAAAGCATCTGTGCTGCAGTTTGAGTTGTAAGCTGAATTAGCCATCTGGTTCATAAAGCTTTATTTTAACTTGAAAGAACCACCAGAAAAACTATGTTTATTCAGATTGGTGACTTGATAGACATTTTCTTGAAAATGACTAACTGAGCCTTGTCATTTCAAGGCAAATTAACAGTTAAAAATTAGGATTTAGGAAAACGTGTACCCCCTACCAAGAGCTTGAGAACTTCCCAATACTTAAAAACATTTCAGAAGTTATTGACAGTGGTATTAACAAATGTGAATGTGATTTTATATACTGAAATGGTTTAACATCTGGAAACATTAAAAAATCTCCAGACATCAACATTTTTCAAACAGCCAGTGCATTATATTACAATATCATACATGCATAAAAGACCCATTACAACGAGAGCCCAGAAATAAACTCACGCGCCCATGGTTAATTACTCTTCGACAAAGAAGGCAAGAATATACAATGGGAAAAAGTCTCTTCAGCAAGTGGTGCTGGGAAAGCTGTAAATCAGTGCACATAAACCAGTGAAGTTAGAACACGCCCTCACACAATACACAAAAATAAACTCAAAATGGCTTAAAGACCTAAACAGAAGACCTGACACCATAAAACTCCTAGCAGAGAACACAGGCAAAACATCCTTTGACACAAATCATACCAAAGTTCTCTTAGGCTGGTCTCCCAAGGCAACAGAAATAAAAGCTAAAATAAACAAATGGGATCTAATCAAATTTACAACTTTTTGCACAGCAAAGGAAACCATAACCATAAACAAAACAAAAAGGACCTATGGACTGGGAAAAAAGATTTGCAAATAATGTGACTGACAAGGGCTTAATCTCCAAAATTTACGAACAGCTCATGCTTCCAGGGCTTCCCTCGTGGCTCAGAGAGTAAAGCGTCAGCTTACAATGTGGGAGACCTGGGTTCGATCCCTAGATTGGGAAGATCCCCAGGAGAAGGAAATGGCAACCCACTCCAGGACTCTTGCCTGGAAAATCCCATGGACAGAGGAGCCTGGTAGGCTACAGTCCATGGGGTTGCAAAGAATAGGACACGACTGAGCGACTTCACTTAGTACTTAGCTCAATATAAAAAAACCAAGTAACCCAGTCAAAAGATAGCCAGAAGACCTAAACATGCATTTCTCCTAAAAACAGACACAGATGGCCAACAGACACAGGAAAAGATGCTCAACACTGCTAATTATTAGAGAAGTGCAAATCAAAACTACAATGAGATAACACCTCAGGCCAGTCAGAACAGTCATCATTAAAAGTCTAAAAATAACAAAAGCTAGAGAGGATATGGGGAAAGGGAACGCTCCTACACTGTTGGTGGGAGAGGAAGTTGGTGCAGTCACTATGGAAAACAGTATAGAGTTGCCATATGATCCAGCAATCCCATTCCTAGTTATATATCCAAATAAAACTATAATTCAAAATGATACATGTAACTCTGTGTTCCTAACAGCACTATTCACAATAGCCAAGATACAGAAACAACCTAAATGTCCAACAGAGAAATGGATACAGTGGATGTGGTATATATACAATATGGAATACTACTGGAATGAACAAAGAATAATGCCCATTTGCGGCAACATGGATAGACATACAGATCATCATACTAAATGAAGTAAGTCAGAAAGACAAATACCATGTGATATCACATGTGGAATCTAAAATGTGATGCAAATGAACTTATTTATGAAACAGACTCAATGACCTAGAGAACAGACATGTGGTTGCCAAAGAGAGCATGGCGGGGAACGGAGTCGGAGTTTGGGTTAGCAGACTATTTTTTCTTTACTGTGCAAATGTTTTCATGAAAAGACAGCTACCCCTATATCCCAGTTCTGACGGTAACAATTTTATGACCCCAGCAAAGTAAACCTTAAAACATTGCCAGTGCCTCAGAGGTGAAGCAGCAGTGATCAGGCATTTTGCCCCCTGCACACCCCTGGACAGGTCACAGGCTGGTCGGCCTATGACTAGTGTCTGTAAAACCATGTCCTCCGGCAGTTTCATCGGGTAACATAAAAGCCTTATTTTACAGCAAGTATTTTACCTCAGAGAAAATAATGCGCTCCTAGAAAGGTTTTCTGAAAAGACCCCTGAGTAACATATTTACATCTATAGTGAATATACTATCTCTTTACAAGATCAAAAATATTTTAAACAGCTCAAAAAAGTTACTTCTAAAAGTAGAAAAGGGTGTAAATATCTGAGAGCATAAATGAGTAAGTCAAGCAGCTTGAATTAAAAAAATTTATTTAATCGCCAAACTTTCTATTTAATGTTGAAAGTTCTATTTAGCACCTCAATAAATAACTTTTTAAATTAGTTTCATGATTTAATTTTTAAAATA